AGTGAATCAACTTTCTGTTGGACAAGAAGGTTTCAAAGAGTTTGAGAATATACAGGGATTTTGCTAGATATGAAATTCTGTTGAATTTCATGAATTCCGTAGTGCACAGTGAAAGAGTTGCGGAGTTGGGTGGGGAATGAGGATGGGTGGGATGTGTGGAGTGTAGGCTTGCTGGAGAGGAAGACTAACCTCGTGATCTGGAGATGGAGAGTCAGATTCTCTGTCAGAGAGAGAGGCCCACTCTGGAGCTACTGAGGGAGGGGCTTCCACGTGTTCCCTTTTAGTGGAGGTCAGGAATATTCAGACTATAAATATTTTAATTTTTATTATTAACATTTTAATTTCTGTCTATAAATGAAGAGATTTTAATGTTTTTCCCTCTTCCCTGTATGTTGAGTTTTTAGTTTATCCTTGGGAAGTAGGACACATCTTTGGCTAATAGACATTTGAGGTGCACGAAATGAAATGCTGCAAAAGCAATTCAGATGGAACTGACAGGTATGAGAATGGGGCTCAGCTGTGCCCAGCTCCTCAGCTTGATGACAGTCTTGCAATAAATAATCAGAAACTGGGTGAACTGATAGCAAATGTCAGTTTAAAGTTTTCACTTGTCAAAACTGAGACTGTCATATCACCAAACCATTGCTGGACCAAATTATGCTACCTGTTATCTTTTTGTTCATTGGAAAGCATTCTTCACCTCCATTTTTTTATCCGTAGCTGTGCTTCACAGACAAATTCCCAATCTGTACTGATGTTTATTACTGCTTACTTCATTTAATAAAGGAGGCTTAGTTTGGTCAGAAAGCAATTGTTAGACTCTTCTGTGTATCAGTCCTTTAGCTGTCCTTTCTGATTTCAACTTAAACAATCGAGAACCATCTCAAAGAAATTCCTTTTCAGTTGTATGAGGTGGTCACTCTCACTTTATCCTTGTGACAGAGATAAAATTCTCAAGAACTCGGTGCCTGAGCTGTGGCGTAGTAAGCTAACCTTCCGCCTGTGGTGCCAGAATCCCATGTGGGCACCAGTTTGTGTCCCAGCTACTCCTCTTCTGATCCAACTCTCTGCTTATGGCCTGGAAAAGCAGTAGACAGTGGCCCAAGTGGTAGGGCCGATGCACCCGCATGGGAGACCCAGATGAAGCTCCCAGTTTCACCCCTACCATTGCAGCCATTTAGTAAATGAACCAGTGGATGAAAACCCTCTCTGTCTGTCTGTCTGTCTGTCTCTCTCTCTCTCTGTCTGTCTCTGTAACTCTGCCTTTCAAATAATAAATCAAATCTTTAAAAAAAAAAAAAAACTCAAGAACCTCAAGGTTTTTTCCAAGGAACCATTATGTTGTTACTTGTGACCTTTGAAAGAAGACTGAGGTTAATTTAATTTAGTACTGAGTTTTTAAGAAGTGTTAGCCAAGGCCGGCGCCATGGCTCACTAGGCTAATCCTCCGCCTAGCGGCGCCGGCACACCGGGTTCTAGTCCTGGTCGGGGCGCTGGATTCTGTCCCAGTTGCCCCTCTTCCAGGCCAGCCCTCTGCTGTGGCCAGGGAGTGCAGTGGAGGATGGCCCAGGTGCTTGGGCCCTGCACCCCATGGGAGACCAGGAACAGCACCTGGCTCCTGGCTCCTGCCATCGGATCAGCGCGGTGCGCCGGCCGCAGCGCGCCAGCCGCGGCGGCCATTGGAGGGTGAACCAACGGCAAAAGGAAGACCTTTCTCTCTGTCTCTCTCACTGTCCACTCTGCCTGTCAAAAAATAAATAAATAAATAAATAAATAAATAAAATTTAAAAGAAGTGTTAGCCAATTTATTTTTAGCAAAAAGAGAAGTTATTTTGACTAGTTTAAGGCCAGATTCTATGAATGAGCCATTGTGTGTATGTTAGAGCTTCAAGGAACTCCACGCAGCATGTGGATCAGCCCTTGGCCAGACAGAGGAACAGCAGGATCCAGCCAGAATAGTGACTCTATCAAGATGCACTGCAGGCAAAGGCTCTTGTTTAGAAGATGTGTGGACTGTTGACACTGTTATGTATATCAAAGGTTTGAGTCTGATTGTTCTCAAGACAAGGAAACCATTCTACTTTAATAGCATTCTATCTTTGAAGCTACAATATCTTAAGTAGGAAAACCATATTTGTTTCACTGTTTTTATGTTGGATATATGGTCTGTTTTGAATATGAAAATTTCTCCTTTTTTCAGCAAGTCCTTCTTTTCTTCTCATCTTAAATGTATATTATGCCTTGAGGGAAAGATTGACCTACAGAAAGGGGGGGGGGGGGGAGAATTGAGGCCAAAGAGAAGTAAGGCAGTTAGAGGTCACTGTAATCATGTGGCAGTGAGTTCCGCTTGGACCCTGGCTTGTTTCTTAGCATGAGACGGGGTATAGGTGCTCCACAAGGACCAACCCAGAGGCATTCTGGAAGATCAGCAACATATGTGAGAGTAAAGCAGGACCCTCCCTCGCAGGTACCTGCCATGGTGAGCAGGTCACATCTTTGGTATGAGTAGGTGCCACCACTTAGAAGTGTGTGACCCTGGGCACGTGGTATAACCTGTCTGAGCCATACTGCCGCGGCAGCATGGAGATGTTTTCACAGCACGTGAGGTCACACACATGAGGTGCTGCTGATGCGGCAGCGATGGGCTCACAGTAGCTCCTTTCCTCTTACACCTCCTTTTTGTCTTCCAGATTCTCTAGGAATCCAGCCCTGAGTTTGAAGACCATTTTTTAAGACTCTGTAGCTGTATATGTGCCTCTGGAAAGATTACACACTGCCATGTCATATCAGTCAGCTCTAGAAGTGACTGTTTTGTTCCTGGGAAGCATTTAAAAGGGCCAGTGAGACTAACAGCACATTTCAGAGAGCTTATGTTTTACAGAGAGCTCATATCATAACCAGTATTTTATACTCTTTTCAATCAACTCGATTAAACCAGGATAACAAAGTGTAGCTTATATTCTGCATAGAGAGGAAATTCTGGCCCAAGTATTTTATCAATACTTACTATTCTATATGAAGAACTACTTGCAGCTACTCAGATTTTTCAGCCTGTTTCCTGCCTCCATGCTTGCGTCTGCTGCTCCTTCTGATGGAAGGCCCTTATTGCCACTGCTTCTGCCCATCCCTTTTCAGCCCTTCTCCACCTTCATCCTCCTGGTCTTTTAGAGTGCTCCTCAGCAGGACATTCTCAGGAAGCTACTCGTGACACACCAGAGTGATGGAGGTACCCTTCTCCATATACCCAGTCAGTCAACACATGTAATGGAAGCGTCTGTTAAGGCCAAGAGGGTGAGAAATAGTGAAAACATACTGTAGGGGAAACTGGCCTAACCCTGGGCAATTGTGAGAGTTCTCTCTGGAAGTGACAGTTAAGCTAAAAACATAGGAAATAGCTCAGAGGAGGGGAGAGGAGCATGTCTGGTAGCAAATGTGAAGACTCATCCCCATACATGTGACACAAAAAGGAGCACAGCTCCATTGCTTATGTTTTTATCAAAGGAATTGCTTACTGTACCGTGGTCATTGCATCTGATGATTGGTCTCTGGTGTCATATACCTGAGAAAGCAAACAAGGGTGAGAACCAGGTGTGGGTGTAGCTAACACGTGCGACCTTTGCAGTCAGATAGATTCAGCTCTCCTGTTCTCAATGAGATTTTAAGCAGACTTAGGCTTTATTATGTGTAATATCCTTATCTACAAAATGGGTATGACAGTTACAGTTACCTTGGGCTGGAGCTATTGTGATAACTCTAGGAGCCATCTCAGCAGCTAGCGTATGGTAGGCAGTTGCCACATGGATTTTATTCTTGTGACTCCCCAAGGTGTTACATAGCTGAGCTTGGTCATTTCCCATTTTGATTGATTGTATGGAGTTGGAATGCTGGGATGTTTTATTTCCACAACAGGCTAAGATAATTTCAGGACTGTTATTTCCTTACAAAATTAAGTAGAGTGGGAAAGAGGAAAGCCTGAGAGGGCAAGTAGAAGCTCGTCTTCAAATACTCAAGATGCTTATGGTTTGATAGCCTAGGTTTTTCCATAGGTCTGATCCCATAAAAATTATGCATACTTAAGATATATTGTGTATATGTAGCCTGTTTTACACTATCTGCAAAGTTGCAGTAGTAACATGCTTTCTCCTGCCTTCTGTCTCAAGGATGTTGGAGTATAGATTGCCAATGCTTTGAAAAGCTTCTCTGCCCTCTGACTTTTAAACAGATCATCTGTCAGCCCTCCTGCTGCACTTGGTCACTGGGGCAGTGTTGGTGTGGTCCACCACTTCCTGATGGCAGTGCAGTAGTGCTGCAGAACCGTGTGCATCTCTACGCTTGTTCTTGACGTGTTGTCCAGGGCTCACAGTTCACACAGCGCCAACTTCTCTGGTGGGAATGGGCTTAAGCAGAAATAAAGTCCCTGTGGTTAACTTTCTTTTTTTTTAACGAATGCATTTTTCACAGGTACTACTTTAGGAATATAGTGGTTCTTTCCCCCATACTCACCCTCTCACCCTGACTCAAATCCCACTTCCTACTCCCTCTCCCATCCATAAGTAAGAGTGTTACTTGTTAAAGGAACAACAGAAGTCACTGTGGTTGACTTTCCATCTGTTGGGAAGGAGTGATGTTTGCTGCCTCCTCCACTCCCGTAGTACCTGGCACAATCCCGCCCCAGTCACTGGCATGCATTCTAGCATTGTGTACACACACACTCCCAGAACAAGTTCTGTCTTTATATTCTCACATGCAATTTAGGGTCTTACCATGAGTTCCTTAAAGTGTTGTTTGAAGATTCAGATATAATTATGTATTAAAATGGGGGAATTAAGGAGAGAGGCTTTTGATAACCATGAAGTGTAAGGCTTTTGTCTTAAGGCTCTGTCATCTTAGTAGAGATTTGTTTTTAGCCCTGCTTTTTGTTAGTTGTCTTTAAGTTTCAGAATACATTTTAAACTCACAGCCAGATCATTTTGTCCTATGTTTCCTTTTATTCAATACAGTGGTGCTGATTACTATGATTATGGACACGGGCTCAGTGAGGAGACCTACGATTCCTATGGTGAGTGACTGGTCACAGCAACCTCATATGGAGAGGGGGAGTGGCCACAGAAAGACCTTGAAGGTCTTAATTGGAGGAAAAATTTAAAAAGTCACTTTGCCTGTGAAATAGCAGCTTTCTCTGCATTCATTTGTGCATATCTTGGCTATTTCCAGAGGCTTCTTTACTATTTAATATTTAGAGAGTACTAAAGATTTGCAGAAAATTGCATGGGTTAAGATACTGAATTAGATTTTCTGTTTGGGTTGATTGCCATGTGCTGATTTTTCTCATTCATGGACAGTTTGGCAAACTGCATATACTTGATAGCATGGGTCTTTTTGAAGTGTCTTTGCTTCTTGACAGTAAAAGGAAATGAAACCATTGAGACTGCAGCTCTTAAGTGATTCTCCTACTTCTTTATGTTTTAACTCATTCTCAATCTCAAATCTTCTGAAAAAAATTACACAGCGAGTCATCCCATAAAGGTTTAAAAAAGCACTGAGCCAGCGAGGAGATGCAGGGGTCTGTGGGGCTTCAGGGAGGCAACCAGACCCCTCATAATTCAGTGGGACCTGATAGAGATGCTGGAGAGCCCATGTCCAAAGTCTGAATATGCCGAAGGATGACAGATTTAATTAAAAGAGTTGGCAGCAGCAACATAATGATGGTAAGAAGCACCTTTGCTGCAGGGCAAAGAGATCAGAGAACACGAAGCTTCAATCAGTTGCAAAGCTATGATGAGTGTGTAGTACGCAGTACAAGTGAGTCAGGACTGTGGTTAATGGATGTTATGACATTTCTCTGAACATAACTGAAAAACCATTTTCCAGGGTTCCTTTTGAAGTGTATTTTGTTATATCACCTGCCTGAACACATGATGACCATATCTTGGTTTTTCTTTTTTTTTTCTTTTTTCTTTTTTGGTTATTCGTAACAAACACTTAAGAGAAATACATTGGCTTACTGAAAGCTATCTACTTAAATTGATGCAAGTTAGCTTGAGGGAATGACGTTGATTGCATGTTTGTATCAAAAAAAAGAGGTCATTTTAAGCATTTTTCCTTCACAGCTTTTTAAATTGGTCTCTGTGGACACATGGCTTTTAAATTGCTGTATGTTGCAGCAGGGATGTTAACTGTTTGCTGTCAGAGACCTGTAGGTAACTCGTTGGAAGTCCTGAAGCTGAACAGCTGTTTAATGTCAGAAGATAAAGATGGGATATCCTTTGTTACCAATACCATTGTCCAGTACGGGTTTAGTTATAATGACTGAAATTTCACGTTGTATCATTTAGTTTATTTCATATTCCTGAAGTGTTCTTGATGTGAATTTTTACCCAGTGCAAATTTCTATAAAAGGGCCTATGAAGAGTGAGACAATATATCTTTTTCTCACTTTGCCCATTCCCCCTTTTGCGCTTAATCCTTTTATCCTCACAGATTTTTATCCATGTTTTTCTTTGTTTTTGCGATAAGGAACAATCTAAGTGATTTGTCTCCCTTCTGTTAATATTTACCGAAAGGCGGTCCAGTTGGTTGAGTGAGCTTTTGAACTTTTATTAAGAGTAACCAAAGTTCTTGCAAAGATGATTACCATTCAAGATACAAAAATTGCCTTTTTTCCCGTGTTGGTAGGTTTCATTAGTGAGGCCGGCATGTTCCATTGTGTTTGTAAATTTTTTTTAATTTCTTGTTTGTTTTTTTTTTTTTAATATATCAGGGATGCATATATATTTAAATACAACATCTACCATTGGTTCAATATTGTTATATTCTAAAATATGAAGCCAGTGACAGCCATGGCAATGATGTAATTGTGATTCCTCTTACTAATTTTAGGGCAAGAGGAGTGGACTAACTCAAGACACAAGGCACCTTCAGCGAGGACAGCGAAGGGAGTCTACAGAGACCAGCCATATGGCAGATACTGATTGTACTGTCTGATGTTGTGAAATAGCCAATCTCCACCAGTCCTGTATACTGTTCAAAGTAATTTTTTTCTATGAACAATCCCTTTTTAAATAAATCAAAATGCTTAAAATCTGAATGGATGGAACTTAAAACTACTTTGTTGAAACATCAACCTGGGCAGAAAAAAAAAGACATGTAAAATTTTGTTATTTCCACTCTGTATATGAAAAAATAGGTCATCAAAAGGAGAAAAAATAACTTTGATTAACTAGTGTTAAACAAAAAAATAGGTTTACTAAATATGTTAATCCATTCTTTTAACATAAGCCTCACCTTTTATTTTAAAGGTTTCCATAGAATTTAGTTATTTTATCTTTCAGCAATATGCTAGTTCTTTTTTTTTCTCTTGCCAACATGCGTAAAAAGGGAAGCCAATTACAAGTGCAAATAATGTGGTATTCTTTTGTAACTAAAGTCTTGAAATGTTCTGTAGTGTTAAGCAAAGTCCTATCTTGCTTGATACTAAATAAACTTTTGAAAGAAATCTCGTGTGTGTGAGCTAACAATTTCATGTTTTTCTTATTTAAAAAGGCTTTCATAAATAGTTGTAAACAGGGAAAGAATTCATTTAACAATGCTTGTCATAACAGGGTCACACTAAACATTGTACAACTTATTTTAAAAATGGTATAAAATTAAATGTACCATTATATACTCACCGTAGATTTAAATGCTGTTTAAAGAGTCCAAATGTTATCAAGCTGCTTGAGTGGCACGTTAAAACTACGCAAAACCAAATCTTGGTTAAAAACTGGTTTTAAAAATAACTACTGGATTTTCTGAAAAAGATGTGATCAGTTTTCATCTTGTTGAGCATTTTTTCACTAGTGCAACTTTGGATTTTTTATGAGAATTTTGGTACCTTAATGAACACCTCGCTCCATGCTGGAAGCAATAAGCACAAAGCTTTTAAAGACATTCTGACTTGACTAATTGAGGTCGCACTCGCCAAGGCTGAGGATGTGTAACCCTTAAACGGTCTTCATTTTCAAAGGTAAATAAATCAAATAAGATTTTAATCTCAATTAATTTATCTTAATATAAATAATAAAGCTAGGGAGATTACAACTTAGCAAGTTTCATTATCCATTTTAGAAAAGTTTTAAGATCACCTAAATTCTCATTTTAAAAAGTTTAATTTGTTTTAGTAATCTAAAAAGCCTTAGTTTAGTCAGTTTAATTGGGGCCAATTATTCCCTATTAAACAAATGTAAAACCTCATAACTAGTTATTTGTAATACATTATTTGGTTAGTAATTGAGGGCACTTCTTAAAACTGACAAATATTTAATAAAGTTATTTAATCATTTTGCTTAAGTTTTGTTTTAAGTGTAGATTATATAAAATGTTTAATTTTTGTTTCTTGAGGGATCGCCTTCCATTTTGAGTAAAATGATCTTTTCTTTTGCTAGGAGACATCTGTCGTCTTGGAATGTGGGAGGAACTGGTGCACACCTGGAAGGAAGGTGAGTGCCTGTTTATACCCGGAAGCTTGCTCACCGGGCAAGATGAAGGCATCGAAGTCACCGGGAAGTTTTCCCACACTGGTTCCCTGCTGCCGGTTCTGGTGAAGGTGGCAGATTAAGTCTTCAGGTCAGAAAAAGAGCTTCTTGAATGTAAACAAATCAGACTCAGTCAACTTTATTAGAGTTGCAGCAGTTGGAGGCTCATGTCATCACAATATTTAAATATGTGAGTTACTTTCTTAAATAAAAATAGTCAACATGAAAAAGTTTTCAGAATTATTACATAGAAGAAGTAGTTTCCCATACTTAATGCTTTCCATATGTGTATGCACACACACACACAAAGCTACACAAATAAACATTAAATTGCTGACTTTAATTATCTCAGTTTTGTTTAAATATGGTTTTTTGTGCTTATGCACTTCGTGAAATAAATTATTACTTTTCTAAAATAAATGTACAATGTATTTTGGAAAATCATTCAAACATTTTTAAAAATCTAGGGATCTGTGAAGGAAAGGTATCACTGATTTGATCTCACTTTCAGATATTCTTACTTTGTCCTAACCCATCAAAAACCACTATTTAGGTCTTGATCTGCCAGAGTCTGTCTTCAAGTGTTTGTGTTTGAGCTGTGCCACTTAACTGTGTGCACTGTGCTCACTTAATGCAGTTCCCAGTTCCTGAACTAGGTAGGACCCTGCAAACCCAGAGGTGGGTAAGTGAGCAGACACCACTGCCACGTCTGCAGGACGTGCAGTGCTAACCTGAAGCTAGGTCTCTGCTCTGCTTGTTCAAATGTTTTCTCCTCAAGTTCAAGACTTTAGGTCCTTTAAAGGCAAAAACCATGTCTTTTTTGACTTGTACCCCAAAATCTTAGAGTACATCTTAGCCTGGTACAAAGATACAGGAAGAGCTAACGAGGTATTAGGTGAGGAACAACGAGTGAAATAATGAAATCATTCTCGAAACACTGACACTGCGCAGTTTGTTTTCTCAGCGGAGCTGAGATCCATGCTGCCTTAACCAGCAGCTGTTTCTGTGGGGAATGCAAAGCTGGACAGCCAGAATCCGTCTTTGTTTCGTAGGCAGTAGTGTGCTTGCACAAAATCTAAAACTTCCCAAGTGTACGGTACCTCCAGATACCCGTCGGTTCCTAGAACTTTCGATGTATCTTTGCAGAGATAATCTGTGCTTAGGCGCACACACACCCCTATCAAGACTATTCTTATGTACAAAACTTTATGCTGTTTTCTCTCCTACTTGTTTCACTTCAGACTGAATAATATATGTTGGAGTTTATTTTCTATTATTTTTAATATAAGGCTATATTTTATTAGCTGAATAATATTTGTGTGAATGATCCATTATGTAAACAACTGCTGACAAACATGTAGTTTGTTTCCAGTATTTTTTCCTCATTAAAGACAGTGCTAAGAAAAAAACAGGCTTATTTTTCTGTTTTTGCGCATATATGTGTGTGTGTGCCTGCTTGCGCACACAATGAATTTCTTAGAGCAGATTTACCAAGTCATTACATTTCTATAGATGTTAACTCTTGTTCCCCATGGAAGTCATGGTGTATCTTAATACGCTTTTCTGACGGAAGCTTAAATTCTAAATGCAGTTAACATGTCACACAGATGAGTTACCTGCTGGAAAGTGGCATTGAAATGGTATTCTGTACACTGCACAGTGTTGGCACGTGGTTGGCTTGATGCCCAGGGGACACAGGGTGTGTCAGGTCCAGCACAGACACTTCCAGCTGCTCATCTCTGTGTCTTTACCAGGGAGAACACAAAGTTTCCGACTCTTACTCTGACTTGTGCTGGTGGCTTCTCACTGGCAGAACCTATTTATGTTAGCAGGTAACAGGGGCTGGCCTGTCACATGCAGGCTTCATGCTAAGCACTGGGATACCCTGAGTAGACAGACAGCTTTTGTTCTGAGGGGCCCTCTCCTCAGTAGCACTTTTCTGTGCCAACAGTTTTCTTCCCCAGCTCCTTCACCCGAGAGTCCCTCTTTTCTCGGCCTGCGAGTCCTGCTCATAGCACTCAGTTGGCAGATAACTAATCCTGAACTGCTGCTCACATGTGGTTGTCCTCTATCCCGGGGTCACAAACGAGGCTGCTCTATCTTAGAAACCTTTTAAGCACTGGCTCACAAGCTATTCAAAACATGTTCATTGGTTACTTAAAGATCAGTAGATTTGCTTTATTTGAAGTTCAACTTTTTTAAGTGTTAGCCTTAACTTTATTTGCATCTTATTGATCCTAGCAACCCTGATGCTTCATGCAGGGGACAGAGATGACTCTGCAGTCATGAAAGGCTGGTAAAGGCAGAGTTCACACAGGGAAAAGTGGTGGACTTGGTCTGGGAATGACGGGGGGAGATGAAACCTGGAAGGGGTCTACAAAGCCAAAATCTTACAAGCAGGCAGGGAGAAGGAAAACGTAGACCTAATAGACTGGCCAAGTTCTGGAAACCACTGTGTGCTGGGAACATCTATGCAGTAGCTAGAAAACAGGGTGCCAGAAGACAGGTGCAGGGAGACACATCTGGTAGGAAGGGGCTAGCTCCCGGGAGCCATGACAGGCACCAGGTTGCTTGCAGCTGTGTTGAATGGATGAGCGATCCCTTAGGGTGAGGCAGATGTAGACAGAGGCAAGAAAAGTGAACTGGCAATGGCAGCTTTCACCACTGTGATTAGGTTTTTCCTTTGATCACCACACAGATTTTGAAGAAACAAAATTTTGTTATGTATAAGCATATCAGCATTTCTGGGGTCTGTCAATTAAAAAATGTTAAGAATATATCAGTTGCTTATCAGATGACAAGAATGCAAGGACTGCGCCAGCATGGACCCATAGGAGCTCGCTTCATGTCTAAACATTAGAAGTTTCACAGAAGACAAGGCATTGCCATTCTGAGATCTAACCCAAAAATTCCCATATTACTTAGTATTTTGATCTTGATGCTAAGTGGAATTAATAATTTTTCTGTCTGCAGAACACAAATATGTTGTCTTTACTTTTAATAATTCTATTTTGCATTATTTTCCATATAAAATATGTTCATTAGATTTCTACTTACCTGATTCCTCTGCCTAGATCCTACCACTCCTAATACATCCTATAATTATTATTAGTTCCTTGGTATATACAAATATATTTCATTTTCCTCTCTTTCAGGAATGTGCCCTCTGTTTATGGACTTCTTAAGAATAGTCACCTCACCAGCGTGCCTAGTCAGTAAAGAATCTACTTGGGACCTTGAAAATCATCTTAGTTTAATTTTTTTTCCAACCAAATTTGTGTTCTGTGAAATGTTTTTATAAAATGGTATGTATTTCAATTTGGAAATCCTGTTTTTGAAAAAAAAAATTTATTGTCTCCTAATAACAAAAGACAATGATTTGTGTAATAATTAATAAAAACTGCCCACTGTGCCCATCAGAGGTCTTCCACTCCACTAGAAAGTGAGAAAAAAAATCTGTTTATGTCAGCACAACTTTTAAGTGTTATACACTTGAGAACCAACTACAGGTGCAACTCACTGCAAGAAATCAAGGTTCTTCTACACCTTTTCTCATTTGTCCATCTCCAATAAACACAAAAGTGTAAAGCAGAATATGCTGTCACCTAAAGGATTAATTATAGAGGTTTTCTTCAAGAAGCAAAATGATATGGGATAGCAGCCTGATTTTTCATGCCTCCCTGTAATTTGTCACGGCACATAAAGGTCGTAATCCCTGCAGACGGTATTGTTCTGTTTGTTCTCTTTTCCTCATTTACTCTAAATCACGCATTGTGAACTGAATTCAGTTTGCCTCAGGAGGATGTGTTTCATTTCTTTGGCTGGAAGCTCACCCGTGTTTCCCACTCTTGGAATGTCAAGAACAGTCCTACCCATTGTTTTGTCACTTTCTTACCTTAAAGAGACATTTCCTCAAGGCATTTACTTTTTACAGTGAACCACGTCTGGAACATTGTGTTAACCATAGAATAACACTGAATAGCTTAGCTTTTGCCTGTCTTCTTATGGTAGATCTTAAAAACAGCTGAATACATGTTTCTCTATCCCAGAAATGCATGGACTGTAAACCTGCATGTTAAAACAGCGGTGAGCAGGAGCACCAGGCTCACGAAGGCTGTGTGTGGGCAGTTGAGGGACAATTCAGAGAACACTTCTGTTTGGAATTAATTTTAAATGAACAGAAACTTTAGAAAAAATCCAGAATATGGTAAATGGAAAAGAATTTGAACTCTGTTTTTGTTTGCATCCTTTCCACCTGCTAAGTCACTGATAAAATTGTAAGCCTACAAGTAAAATCCCATCCAATCATCTTAGATTCTACTTGATCTCATTCTTACTGTAGTTTTGACCTCCTATCTCACTTCCTGCATTACTTAATTCATTAAAATCATGCATTGAGAGCCTCCTGGGCATTTTGCTGCATGATAGAAGGCAGAGAACAAAACAAAGGAAGTCCAACCTGGAGAGACATACATTCAAGTGGTGGGGAGGCAGGCCATCAGGAACAGTTGACACTGTCCAGAAGTGAGATGGGGACAGCGCTCTGCAGGCCACTAGAGCACAGTATTGGAGGGTTAGACTTTAATTTGGGTGACTGAGGTATAGTAAGGTGTTGTTTTAACAGAGACCAAGAGAAGCAGTGAGATGTTTTCCAAAGGTCCTGAGGTGGGAGCACCCTTCCCTCCTTAGGTACTGGAGGAAGAATTGGATGCCAATGTAGAAGTAATGGAGTGAGCAAGAGTCTAACAACAATAACATGAGATCGGGAGCTGCCTGGAGGCCAGAGCCTGTAGGAGCAACTTTGAGCTTTCCTTTAAGCTTTGCAGGATGAGGTGAGAAGGTCCTCTGGTTGTGCCAGGATCACTGTAGTGAGCACAGTGGCAAGAGTCAGTGGAAGCCGTATAATGAAGATACAGAGACGTGAGCATGGTCCAGGGTACTGAGAACCAGCAAGACTTGTAAAGTAGACCCGAGAAGACTTAGTGCACCAGTTGTGAAATGCAGAAAATGAAAAGTTAGGGGATGCAGAGATTTTGTTCTAGAGCCACTGGGGAAATACCCTCTTTGCAAAGTGGGAAGGTTATATGAGACACAGGTTATGTGTTCAGTTTGAGATGCAGACCTAGAGGAGGGAGATTTCAGCTGAAGAAAGCCACCAGAATATAAATGTCCTCTAACTTTATTTTTTTAATATTTTATTTATTAGAGAGGTAAAGTTACAGATAGTGAGAGGGAGAGACAGAGAGAAAGGTCTTGCATCAGCTGGTTTACTCCCCAGGTGGCTATAACAGCTAGAGCTGAGCCATCTGAAGCCAGGAGCCATGTGCAGGGGCCCCCAAGCACTTTGGGCCATCTTCTCCTGCTTTCCCAGGCCATAGCAGAGAGCTGGCTCAGGAGCAGCTGGGACTAGAACCAGTGCCCGCATGGGATGTTGGTGCCATAGGCAGAAGATTAACCTACTGTGCCACAGCACCGGCCCCTCCTTTAACTTGAAAGCTATACTGTGAGGGGTGGTCATAACGAATATGTAGAATGTCACAACGGATATAGAGGTCACTAAGCTGCAGAGGAACCAACATGGGACGGGGAGAAGAAATCCGAGAGGAACACTCTGGAAGGAGTCTGAAGAAAGGCTTGTGAGGAAAGGGGACACCATCCTCTTGCAGGTGATGACTGCAGAGGTCAGTGGTGGACCTGGTTCATTTCTGGATGGAAGGCATGGGGCAGATTCAAGAAAGAATGACAGGAGAGATTAGCTCAGTCAACTCTATGGGGCTCTTTAAGGAGTTATTGAGGGTTGTGGAGTTGATAGGAAAAACTGGAGAGTGGAGGAGAGAAGAGTTGTTGGAGGCGTGTCCGTGAGCCAGTGAGGACATTCCACACAGGCACTGACCTCAGCGTCATCAACACACACCATGAGTGGGTGCAGAGGCGCAGAGGTGGGTGGGCGGGACAGGAGACCATGGAGTGTATATGCACCGTGCCAGCAGGTCTTCCTGTCTCATGGGTGTCCTGATGCTGTCTCAGCCTACAGGCTGCTCTACTGCCAGCTGAGTAGTACAGCCAATTGTTGGTACATGTTACGTATTGGTCAACATTATTAGGTTCTCCCCTCAGCATCCAGTTCAGCTGGCAGATTCCTCAGCTTATCACCTCTAACGATTTGGCTCCTACCTGCATCTCTAGCCCTAAATTCCCATGGTGGAAAATTACCAGGTTACTCTAACTTTTGTGTCAGCCTGGCATTGCCATCCATTGTCTTACGTAGGATTTCCAGCTGAGACATGAGCATTCTGAGATTCATGTTACCTGGCTCTTGGTCTGAATTAAATCTGTTTGAGTTGACTTTGGTGAGAGAAGGAATGTGCTGCCTTTCACTGCCGGGTACAGAGAAAGGGTCCAGGATTCTCTTGGCCTCTGTTAACAAGGGGAAGCGAAAGGAAAAGGGGTCTCCTAATTGCTCCTGGCCAGGTTTGGGAGTGCCAGCTCTCATAAGGTCTCTGCTGTTAAACCCCTGGACTCTGCTAGCATGGTGTGGGGCATGGGCCTCCTTGCGGGGCGGAATCCTGACCTTCCCCTCTGCCTTTCTGACCCCACCCCAACCAGGAGGGAGCCAGGTGGGGATGGAGGTCAGAGTTCCCTACCAACTTGACAGGGGTGCCATCGCCACCAGGTAGACATGAACATCCCGACTCTCAGCCGCACTCACACGTGTTCATCACAGAACTGCGTGTAGCCTGCCGCAGGCTGGGGACTGGATCTTCCCACTTCCTTTTAAACCCTGAACCTCACTGAATGGCTTCCTCTAACCCCATGTCTCCCACCTTTTTCAGGACTTGGTAGATAGAATGATATATTTACTACTCACGGGAGTTAAGTGGAGGTGACCCAGAGCTACCCAGTCCTGCTGAGCTGCCCAAAAGCTGAGGGAAATCACTCTTTGTACACAAACAGTCCATTCATGGCACAGCAATTTAAAGATGACAACCAAGAGTCTAGCCAGGACACTGGCATCCCCATTTCAGAGTCCCTGGGTGCAATTCCCAAACCCTCAAGAGCTGGGCTACTGCCATTCACCTGGGAGACCTAGATTGTGTTCCCAGCTTCCAGCTTTGGCCTTGGCCCAGCCCCTGCCATTACAGGCCTTTGGGGAGTTATCCAGGAGGTGGAGGAACTTTGTCCCCCTCCTCCCTCTTCCTCTGAATCTACAGTAACTAAAAATCTTAAGAAAATAGTCCAGAAACCCCTATAATACACACATGTGCCTAATCACATTGTATTAGCCATTGGCTTTCTTTGCAGCCCTAGTCTTAGTCCTTTTGGACTGTATAACAAAGTGCCTTATGCTTGGTCATTTGTGGACTACAGAAAGGTACTGCTCACATTCTGGAGGATGGGGAGCCAAGAACAAGACACTGGCGGAGTGTGGTGAGGCTGTCCGTGCCTCATCGATGGCACCTTCTGTGTGACCTCACATGGCTGAAGGGGACAGAGGAACTCCTCTTAAAAGGGAGAGCACTACCACATTTCACGAGAGTAGAGCTCTCAGGACCTAGTCACTTCCCAAGGACCCCACCTCTTAATACTGCCAACTGAGTATTAGGTTCCTATGTAAGAATTTGGAGATGGGAGTAGGTAAACCATAGCATTTCACCCCCAGCCTCTTTAAGATTCATGCCCTTTTCACATGCAAAATTCATGAATCCCATCCCAATAGGCCCATGGGTATTAATTTGTTCCAGCCCCTAGAGTCTCATCTAAATCAGATGTGAGTCTCAAGGTAGCCTGTATCCTTACATTTCTCTGTCCTGTGAACCTGTGACATCAAACACTCTTCCAAATTAAAAAGGGGCCTCAAAAAGGTCATGGAAACTACCTGCCATGAGAAAACTGTCTACTTGGAAATGCTTTGCACCAAGGTACACTTATCTTTTAATTCAATTTTCCCAAGAACTCTCATACATTGATGGGATAGACATAGGATACTAGGGTAGAAGTGACCATTCCGAAAGAAAGAAATAGGAAGGGAAAGAAGAAGCCATCATGCCCAAAAAGCAAATGTTAAATCTTACAGTTCCAGAATAAGTACAATCCCCAGGGTACAGTGATTCAGTGTAATTTTAGACTTCATGATGGTGTGAAGGTGTTACACAACCAGTGGAAACCATACTTCGAATTGTAGTTTTGATCTGCACTTGGACTGGTGCTCATCTCCAGTCAGCCTTCGGGCCACTGGGTAGACAGCTCTGCAGTACGTGGGATGGCTAAGCTAGTCTGTTCAGTTGGTCAAGTGTATTAAATGCATTTTCAACTGAAGATATTTTCAGCTTACCGTGAGTTTATCAGGATGTAACCCATGTACAAGTTGAGGAGCATCTATAGTCCGTGACTTCAAATCCCACATCCTGGATACACTGGGGTGGGGGGTGGTCCTTCAAGGTTCCAGATGGGCCCTGCCCCGTGTCTTTGCTGGGTGCAGTCCATATGGCAGCTCTCATGGGCTGAGGTCTTGTGCCTGTGACTTTCCCAGGCTGGAGTTGCACACCAGGAGCTCCATTGAGCATTTCCCTAGCAGACAACGTGGCCTGACACTCCTGGCTCCACTAAGTGTTCTCATAGTGGGTGTTCTGTACTCACCCCTTCCCTCTCCACCCCAAAGCTTTCTGGCTTAGCCTTTGAAATCTAAGTAGAACTAGCGATGCTGGACCTCACAGCTCATGCATTTTGCACCCCAGTGGAGACGGCACCACGTGGATGCTGCTTTGTGAAGTAGAGGCCCAAGCACACGCAGGCCCACTTCAGCCACAGTGGGGCTGCCATGGAGCCCTGTGCCAGAATGCTGGGGACTGTGCCTGAAAATCAAGGCCCTAGCATTCTGAGCCTGTGGTGAGTGTGGCAACCCTGGAGGTCTCTGAAATAGCTTTAGGGCCATTCTATCATCCCCAGACTTTTGTCCATATATACTAATATCCTTATCTAATGGTCACTTAGTCACACCTTTGCTTTTCTCTCTCGAACACATTTTCTCATTCTTTACTACAAGTCCAGGCTAAGATTTTTACACATCTTTTAAGGTCTTTCTTCCCTTCTAATTATAAATTCCATCTTTAATTCATTTATCTCTTGAATTTTATTATAAGCAGAAGGGAAGCCATACTGCACCGTCAACACTTGGCTTAGAGATTTCAGCTGCTGAATGTCCTATCTCACTGGTTGCAAGTTCTGCATTCCACAACACCAGGATATGAACACAAGGCAGCCGAGTTCTTTACCACTTTATAGCAAGGATCCCCTTTGCTCCAGTTTCT